AATATTGAAATAAAAGGTGGAGAGAAATTTGGATCTTTAGCTTAATAGTATTTCTTATTTTTTTGAAAGTTGTCTTCTTGAGGTCAATAATTTAAATTCTATTCCCCTCTCCCTCTCAAAAAATTTGAGATATGGGTGTGAGAACAAACTAAGAGAGTTAGAGAATTGAATGGGATTAAAAAAAGAGTTATGATGGTTATTATTTGAAAATAAAAATGAAGAATTATAGTAATATTTCATGAGAAAATAAAAAGAAAAAGAAAAAAGAAGCGGACACGTGTCCGCCTAATAAGTCACTGTCATCAAATAAAATATGGGACTGTGAGAGATATTTTGTAAGGAAAGAAGGTTAGCTTTTTGTATTGGTCTTCTTTTTGGAATTAAATGATGAGTTGAAACTATTGGTGGACCACCGACACGTGCCGATTCCACCGACTTCTACGGACACCGCTCTGTTTAGTTGACTTTCTGGCTAAGGTTGTGATGACACTGGGATCTAATGGGATCTGACAATTTTGCATTAGTCCACACCGAAAGTGAGGCCTTGGTATGCATTAGACTTATTCTATACAAAAATATTGAAGCAGGCCAATGATTATTAGGAAAATTCTAGATGATCATGAGCAAAAAGCGGAAGTGGAAGCGCGAGTGCAAAAATATTTATATTCAAAAAAATTTAATTAAGAGAGTGTAAATAAAATATAAAAAATTAAAATTTCATACACAATTATGAGATAAATTTAATTTAATTTAATTTAATTACAAAGTCTTAAAATGAAAAATTTTCAAATGTAGTACAAAAAAAAAAGTATTTTTAAATAAAAATTTGAATAATAATAAATAAACATATAAATAAACAAGAGCGTGAATTAGTCGAATTCGCGAATTATGTGAATTTGCGTTTGAAGCACAAGAGCGTTAGGAGTATAAAAATATTATATGATTAAGAGGAAACTACGGAAATTTAATTTTGGCATGGTATCAAAAAATTGAAATAAATGAAAACAATAGTAAACTTTATTTGCCAAAAAGTGATAAACTCTACTAAGGGAACCAAAAAATAATAATAATAAGTGAAATTAAAAGTGATTGTACCTTAAAAATTAGTAAACTTTACCCAAGAGGTAATATAGATAACAAAAATAAAAATAGCATAGTATCAAATTTTTTTTCCTTTTTAAACTCCGGTTACCAAAGATTCAAGAGCCCTAGATTCCTTAATCTTGGGGTCTATTGAGGCTTAAGTTAGTTGAGGTGTAGGTACTAAATTCATGTACTTCGTCTCAAATTAGTTGATGAAGGGTGCAGAGTACTTTATAAAGGTGAGTTTTGAACTTTCATAATAACATACATTATGAAGCAATGAGAGACTAGCCCAATGTGCACTATATTATACAATATAGGTCGAGACGTTATAATTTATATCAGGGCAATAACTAAATTGAGCTGAGGTGTCAAGTCCATATGTATAAATTGTTCTTTTATTTTATTCAAAAATCAATGGTATTTAGATTAGTTTATGTATACAGTAGCTAATTTTTTTTTCGGTCCAGTCAAAGGCTGGTCATCCACTCTAGAATTAAGATATTCGTGAAGAATAAATTTTTTATGATTTGATTCTAAAAAATTACCAAGATTTAAACTTTAATCATTTGAATTTATTACTCTTCTCTGCTACTACTTAAACTGTCATTGAGATTATATGTATAGATTGTTCAACATCACTTGATAAAGTGGGAATGTGTTTTATACGGGACCATTGTAGGACATAAAATATTCAATTTCTTTTTTAAGATAATATTAGATTGGCCTAATAATGACCGAGGACAAAGTTATTTGATCTTAACATTGTAAATAAAAATTAATTTTTATAAAATACACAAAAAAAGAGAGAGCATACAAATCGAAAGTATGACCAAAAATAGGATCATGTTAGTACTACATCACTTAATTCTTGTTTTTAATTTTATTTTTAGTTTGTCTCCCATTAGTTTTCTTTTAGAAACATGTTGGTGGAGTAATTTATTTTATATTAATATTATTACGTGATTTAATTTAATCGTTTAATAACAAATAAATAAATGTGCAAAGTGAATCTCAATTATTTATACTCCTTTGTGGGCATCACTGATTTAGAAATGGAGAGAGATCATGCCAAGTGGCAAGAAAATTAACATGCCACTTGGTAGTGTTAAGGTTCAGTCTTTCTACGGTAAAGGAGTGGGCATTAAAAAGATTCTACCGTATAAAAGGCTGCTCCTGACCAGACTATGGACCATGGGAAATATAGACTTTGAAAAAAGCTATTTTAAGGAACAAATCACAATTGGCCACATCACTCCATCGATGAACAACCTATACATTTGGTTTTATTTTCACACTTCTCACTAAAATATGACGGGGCAAATGCTTTGGTAATTCCACGTAAATGTTGTTTTTTCTTTATATAACTATAGAGGAGGTGGACGGCAAAATTTGACTTCACGGTCTTAAAATTTAATAGTGAATTGATGGTCATTATATCAATCGCTAGTATTCTACGTAGGTATGTCGATCTAATTTTCTCTGGACAGATAAGTTGGATTCAATTTTTTGAGAATTTTCTAAGCCTCGTGTAATCTCGGGCTCACCAACAATCACTGGAGTACACGCACAAATGGGTTTGATTTTTCGCGAATCAAAAACTTTAATACTAAATTACGAGGTTTGGTAAAATTTTTAAAATATAGCCTTGGGTTTAGAGATCTACAGTTGCAATGTGATCTCTAGAGTGTAATTTACCTCACAAAAGAGATATCTTAGCTTGGGAGAGACATTCCCTATTTATTTGGCCCGTGGTGGAAAGGCTTACTGAAAAAAAGAGCATCTAACCATGATATTGGTTGAGAAATAAGATTCAAGTATTTGTAAATTGACTTTGAGACAGTGAATTTGATTATGGTGAACGAAGAATGTTCAAGTTAAACAAGTAATTTGAATATAAACCTAACCCCGATATAGTCATTATTTGTGTTTATTGTTCGAGCAATGTAAAAGGGACTTAATTTAAAATTTTAATTATGGGCCTAATTTAAGAGAGTTATTCCATTAGTTGTAAGTTTTAGTTAGATGGAGCCTACAATTAATCCAAAATTTATAAATTAATTAGCATCTTAATCTGTTTTAGATTAAATCTCCAAATTAAATATATATAACATTTTTCTTATTCTTCGTGTTGTATTTTTGTTAGAGGATAAAATTGACACCTCTAGAATGGCTTAACAACTTAAACTATGATATTAAAATCTAATAAAAAAGACATCATATATAAATGGCAGGACAATCTACACAAGTAATTCAACGATAGGACTTTAAATTCGACTATCGTTAATTACTCACAAATTTATATAATGCTTATAATTCCAGGTATCCAAGTGTTACTCGTGATAATAGATCAAATTTCATTCTCTCTTTACCTAAAAAAATAAATTTAGAATGAGGCACCCTAAACTAAAAAATAATTTAGAAAAATACCAATAAGTCTTTATTTTTTTCATGCAAAAAAGTATTAAATCTTATCATATTTACATTAGAACGATTAAGACCTATTTTTAAAAATTTATTTCCATAAAGTCCTAAACTCAATTAATAACATATTTTCTTTCAATTTTATCAATCCTTTGTTACCATAAATTACATATTTATCTTTTTACCCCTCCTATGTTTTAAGTAACCCTATTTAGTCTAGGTAAAACTTAGTTTTTATGAGTATTTAAATACCTAAAATACTAATTGCATTCATTTAGATAACCAATCTTGATTCATATTAGTTCTGAATTTGAAATTTATTGATTATATAAAAATTAGTATTTTTTTTAGGATAAAATCATATTTTTTAACTGTTATATTAACAGATATCAACAAAAATGGGTTACGTGTTACACGTGCACAAACGTCAAGAGGTGTAGAAGTAATATTCTAAATATGAAAGAGTCCAAATGATTAAGTGATAAACATGAGGTGATCTAAGTATAATTTATCAATTTAATTTTAAGCAACAAACTGACGACGGTTTGTTTTAAGTGCACATTGATACAAATTTCTATTTTTGAGAATGTAAATTGAGATTTTTTATTTTTGGAGGTGCACATTGACACAAATTTCTATCTTTTAGGGTATAAATTAAAATTTTTGATATTTAAAGGTATAAATTTAAATTCGAACAATCTTTCAAGGATGTAATTTACGATTAACCCATTAATTTATGAACAGATATAGGTTACTGTGTACAAGATATTTTTAGAGAAAACGTGAACAAATGCTTAGTGGACAAACAGAGGGAAGGTTAGAGTGGAAGCAACGGAACTGGAAAGAAAGAAGAAGAAGAAGCCGCGTGGGACCAACCCGTAGGCAGAGAGAGAGAGAGAAATCACGATGCTTCCACATTCTCTTTCTCTCTCTTCAGAAAAGTCTCATTCAAATCTTTTTCTTGCCTCTTATAAATCCACCTCCCCTTCCTCACCTCTCCATAACACAACACAAAGCACCCTGCTTTTTTATGTCTGATTCTCCTCCAAATCTCACACAACACCCAAAGTCACAATTGAAGAAAAGGCCCCACTCAGACACTGCTCTGCCTCAAAGCCGCTCGCTCTCTCATCCAACCAAACCTTACTCTATCTGTGAGATTTGGGATGGGTTACTCTTCGATTCATCAGTTTCAGTTTTCTTTTCCGTTTTGGATTCGAAAAATTATGATTTAAATTCCTATCAAAATCGAAAATTGGGTCTTTTTTTTAACTTCATGTCCAAATTGAGATCTTGGTTTTGAAATTTCTTGGATTTTTCCTATTGGGTTTTTGTTAGATTTGAATTCCATTTTGTTTATCTTTATTGATTTTGTGACCCATCTCAAATTCTCTCCATATCGAACCATCAGGGTGGTTCTTTGTCTCTGTTCGGAGAGAGCGAGCGGCGAGCTATTGGGCTTTTTTGATAGTTGAAAGTCCAGGATTGTATTAATGGCAACTAGGAAATGCGGCAAATCGAAGAAGGCAATTGAAGAATCTCAGAGAACAAGCCAAATGGATTGGGAGAGAGATCATGGCAAGGACTTACATATCAACTTGGAAAGGCAACAATGGAAGCCAGTTTTTGATGAAGCTTCCTTGTCAAATAGGCCTCTCAAGAAGATTAAGAGTCCTGAACGCCAAGACTCATTTCAATCCTCTGTTTCTTTCTCTCTCCAAACACCTCCTTCTCTCTCTCTTCCCTCTTCTGTTCCTTACAGTTCTAACATACCTCTACCTTTCACTCCTCCATCTTCATCGACCTCGTCTTCTTCAAGGCATGTTTTTCCTTTTGCCTTTGACGGGTCTCAACCATCCATGGAAAATTTACACCAATTCGGAACAAACACAATTCCTCTGTTTCCTCCACCACAGCAAAGTCAGCAACAACCTATAATATCTTTTGCACCCCACCACCAAAACCACCAACACGGTGGTTTCGCGGGACCACCGTACTTTGCCGGCCACTTGGCACCGTCGCAGCATCAACAGCAACAACTATTTCAGTACTGGAGCTATGCATTGAATTTAAGTCCAACAGAAAGGATGATGATGATGAACAGGTTGGGACAGGACAGTAGAGGGTGGTTGAGGCCTCCAGCGACGCCTGTCTCCGCCACGAAGCTCTACCGAGGAGTGAGGCAAAGGCATTGGGGAAAATGGGTGGCTGAGATTCGTCTTCCTCGAAACCGGACCCGCCTCTGGCTCGGCACTTTTGACACTGCCGAGGATGCTGCATTAGCATATGATCGCGAGGCCTTTAAGTTGAGAGGAGAGAATGCTCGCCTCAATTTCCCTGAACTCTTCCTCGGTAAAGACACCGCAGCTTCCACAGCACCTGGTTCATCGTCGTCATCTCCGATTACGTCCCATAAAAGTTTGGTATCAAAACAGTCTGAAAGAAGTTTAAAAGGGCTTAAATTGGAGGTATCCAATGGGGTTTTGCCACCACCATTGGAGTCACAAGCTCAAGGTGAAAACCCTGAAGACGATTCGGGATTGGGTTCAAGTGAAGTTACGGTTGGTGATGAAGTTCAAGGGAATTTGGAGAGTTGTGGTGTAATGGAAGGTGTATCAGAGTCATCAGAATTGGTTTGGGGTGGGATGGGTGAGGCTTGGTTCAATGCGATTCCAGCTGGTTGGGGTCCAGGTAGTCCTGTTTGGGATGATTTGGACACCAACAATAATCTTATGTTGCCTTCAAATCTTCCTTTTGGCAATGATTATCAGCAGGAGTTTCAGAGTTCTGAGCCTCAGAAACAGCTAGACAATCTTGGTTCAGCTTCATCGTTTTGTCCCATGAAGCCCTTCTTTTGGAAGGATCAAGATTAATTAGTCACTCAGAAGAAGCTGCAGTACATTTAGTACCCTCAACACCCCACCACCCTTCCTCCACCCACAAACCCTCTCTCTTTTTTGTGTGTTCCTGGCAAAACATTTTTTCACTATCTCCTCAGTTTCATTCACTTGTTGCTGATTTTTCAAGTAACTTGTGAGTTGTTCCTATTTCACTTTTCCATTTCTTCACTCTCATCTTTTTCTTTCTCAGTATTCGCCTCGTTCTTCCTCTTTTAGTTTTCCCAGTGTATTCAGTTTTTCACTCCCATCTTTTTCTTTCTTACCATACCTTCCCCCTTGTTGCAGATTTTTCTTGCAACATCATGCGACTCTCTGTGGAGACTTGTTTCTTCTCTCTATGTTCAAACCCACTTTGGCTTTCAGTTCCCCTTTTGATTCCCACATATTTCCAAAATTTGTTCACATCCTCTCTCCACCACCCATTGGCTGCACTAAAGGCTATGCCTTTTTTAGTCCATAGAAGGAGTAGCTTAGTAGTATGGAAGTATTTGCCTAGATTTTCTATTTGTATTAGTATGTGTATGTTTTAAGCTGTTTTATAAGCTCAAGCTGTCTGTCATGGAGATGTAGCTGTGTAGTGTAGTTCAAGTTCAGGACCAGCATGGAAAGAGACGGTTTTGTGATCTCCTCCATTGGTCCATCCATCACAAGCTCTGGTTTTTTGAGCTGCAAGGGATGGAAAGCAAAGCAACTTGTTACTTTTGTACATTAACTGCGTTGTATTATGATCCTATTACTGCAATGTTATGTCTCCTCCATTGGCACAAGTTTAATTAGAGTTCAGTTCAGCAATTTTCAGCCTTTTTTTTTCCATACGATTTTTATGAGTTTCACTTCTGAATGACAGAATTTCTTGTGAATTTTTGATTGTTTTGTTCATTTGGTGATTGGGAATTTGTTATGGTAATGGGATGTTGCATGTCTCGCAGTTTCCATCAAATAAGATGAGTAAAATTAATCAGTACTTTTTACACTGCCATGCAGTCTCAATTCAGGTCTGAATCCCAAGAGCAGTTTCTCCTCAACAATGGAAGTTTCAAGTTGTTATTTGGAATGAAATTGCTATTTGAAGTTAATATGCTGACTTTATTTGTTAAATTAATATATCGCAATTATTGAATTAATAGCGAATTTTAATAAATACTGAATCAATGGTCAATCCTATAACAATAATTCATTAAATAAACAAATTAGATCTAAATAGGGTTTTAATCCATTATGGGTAGGTGGTATTAGACGTTGGGAATTTTTGTATGGTGTTAAGCCATCACATATGGAAATATTCTTACTACTGATTTTTTTTTTTTGGGACAAATGACACTTTGCAACCTAAAAGATTATAAAATTTGCAATTTATACCTTTATAAATTAATTTTTTCAAATTACGCTTCGATGAAATTAATTGGAAGCAATGTGACTCCAATCATAACGTCTCATAATTCAACAAGGGTATTACGTACATTTTATGTGGCTAGCAATTTGATGAAATTTGTTAACGGATGGCTTTAAATAAAATTGGAGAACCGGACATTTCGAATGTTAAGAGATAACAAAAAATTAAAATCAATTTTTTAGAAAAATTGTGCCATAAATCAATTTATGTCTTCTGTCTTCTCTCCTCCAATGCAGATGGTGACGTAGAGGCCCTCCTTCAAAGCTCAACAACAGTAGTCAGCAATCGATCTGCTCTTATTTCTGTGACTGTAAATCTATAATGGTATGTTTGGTAGAAGAGATGAAAAATAGGAAGAATGGAAAAATATAAGAGATAAAACTTTTTATCCATAGAAGAAAGAAATATATTTTTCCTCCTTTTTGTTTGAAATGATGAATGGAAAGTTAAAGCGATGAATTTTTTATTGTTTGGTATCAGAGGAAAAATGAGAAGAAAGAAAACACATAAAAGACAAATTTACCATTATACCCTCCTAATAAACTTCTGAATAAGTTTGAGCATTTCAATTAAATACTGATTTTTAACCCAAAAATATTTAATTACTGATAGTTACAATAAAAATTCTAAATAACATGATAATAAATTTTCAAATTAAAATTTTATGTTTACATGACAAGCACGTGGCATATTGTCCCGCCAAATGGACAAGGTGAGCAACAACACAAGCATTTCAAGTTTGAAAACATTTGGGACATAAAAGAGAAACATCTTTCCCATCGGAGGCTGTCACTTTCCAGTCAACTTTCCGACCAAAATTGGACAGATTTTTTTGGGTGGGCGGGGGGATGGCTTTTCCATCCAATTTTCCTTTCCACTCAATTTTCTTTGGTTACCGATCAGTGAAAAATCATTCTTTCCTTCCCATTTTCCACTCTCCATCTTCCTTCCTCTCTATTTTTTATCAAACCAAACAAAGGGCAAGTATCTTCTTCTTTTCTTCTCTCTCTACTCGTGCGCGCGCACACACTCTTCTTCTTCTCTCTCTCTACTCGCGGACACACACATACAACTAATGAATTTGACTTGGAGTAAATATGTGTTCTTATTTTTTTTTATTGTTAAACTATTAAATTTATAATATTTTTTATTATAAGATTGGTTTGACCAATTGATCTAACTATTGAATCAATGAATCATTGATACAACTTCTCTATCTATCAATGTTTGATCTAATCCTAATAATTATACAATTAATTTTTAAAGATATAAATTGAGAATTTTTTAATCTTTCAGGAGGTGCTGCTATTTGCCCTCGCCGGCCCAATTTTGGTTCGGTAAAGAAGTGTTTCTTATCATCACATCTGAAGCACATACAATCTTGAACAGTAAACTAAGAAAATGACGACAAGCACACAGTGGGAATGCATTTGGTTACTAATTAATTACTTTATTAATAATTAGCAAGGTTAATTAATGAACTTGATGTGGACTGGAATTGTGGGCCCAACCGCCGGCCAATTAGGTCATCCTTGATTCTTAATTGTGACGGCATGACGTGGATGAGGTGGGTGATAGAAAAAGATACGTATAGTTTAATTTTAACTATATTTTATGTGAAAATCAAAATATCTTCTTTTTGGTTGCGATGAGGCAGCTGCGGATGAGTTATAAATATGCTTAATAGTTCCTCCGTTTGTAAATATTTATCGTTTAAGATTTTTATATAGAAATTAAAGAAATTATTAAATAATTTTAATATGAGTAAAACATAATTACACAAAACTAAAATACCCTTATTCAATACGTATTGAAAAAAAAAATATGAAAGACACTTATCCTACACTTAATGTATTAAACACTTATTGAAAAATAAAGATAAGGGTAAATTTAGAAAAAGAAATATTCCCTCCGTTACAAAAATATCTGTCGTTTTAGAAAATTTTTTTGTTCCATAATATCTATAATTTTATGAAATCAAAGCATAATTAATATTTTTTCTTTTAAATTTATCTTAAATTTTTTAATGCATTAGATTAGGTAGATGCTAATTGTCTTTTATATTCTTTTTTTTTCAATACATATTGAATAATGATATTTTAGTCTTGTATAATTATTTTTTACTTATATTACAGTTATTTAATAATTTTCTTAATATTTGTATAAAAATCTTAAACGACAGATATTTAGAAACGGAAAAAATATTTATTATATTTTGATTTCATAAAACGACAGATATTATAGAACAAAAAAAATAATATAAAACGATAAATATTTAAGACCATAGAGTAGTAATTTTTATACCTTAACCGATCCCATCATTATTGTCATGGTGCGGCTATTTAAAATAATAACTTCAATCATAAGTAATGGAGATATTTTGTCAAAGTCAATCCAACTTGATATTACTATGAGCTGTCCTTTCTGGCACATTCAATAAATTTAGAATTTTAGGGAGAAAATTAATAATAATCTCTACGAGTGCGTTTGAAAATATTTTTGTTTTATATTTTTTTATAAAAATAATAAAGTTAATTTTCTTTCTATAATAAAAAATATAAAAATATATTTGATAGTCATTTACATTTAAAAAATTATAAAAATAAAAATAAAAAGTATATTAGATATTATATTAAAAATTTATCCCCTAACACCACCAGCGACTTAATCACCATCAAAATTCCACTGAAACATCTCCCGCCACCAAAACTCATCACCACCAGCCACCAAACTACCACCAAAACTCCATCGAAACATCACCCGCCACCAAAACCAGCTACCACTCAACACCTAACAACGCAAAAGCCGCCACCACCACCACCCACTTAATCAACACTACCAACCGTCCAACCACCACCAATACCCCACCAACACATCACCCGCCACCAAAACCCACCACCACCCAGCCACCCAACACCTATCCACACAAAATCCACATCACTAGTCACCCAAAAAATTGCCTTTTAGAGAGGGTTAGGGCCACAGAGGGAGATCGATCCAAGAAGGTCTAACCTTGAGAGGACAAGTAGCTTAAACCTTTGGCAACTTTGGAGTCTCCACAGAGAGACACGGACGAAAGAGAGAAAAATTGGGTGAGCAATAGGTAGGAGACGAGAGAATGCCCTTTTTTTACTTCCAACAAAGAGTTCCAAATTTTGATATTAATAAGATTCCAAGGTAATACTTAATTAAAAAGTTGGGCTGAGGCACGTGTTTTTTTTTTTTTTCAATGTTTTTAAAAATATCATTTTAGATAATTCTATCTTTTAGTCTTGTTTTCAAAACGAAACAGTAAATAAAAATAAAAATATTCACCAAATATTTTTTTATTTTTTTTTACCATGAAATAAAAAAAAAAACATCGTGTTTTCAAATGGCGCCTGCGTAATAATTACACGCATAAATCGAGTAATAGTATGACGGTGATCAAACATTGGTAAAGCCGGGTGCGTGGGTGGGAGAAAAAATCCAAAAGGTCCATCACTAGTGTCCAAATCTCATTAGGTTCTTTTTTTGGCCATGTCAAATCTCATTAGGTTTGGAGTTTCTTGTCAGTCACTTCTCAAAATTTGATCTTCGA